AGGGAATGAGGGGAATCGGATCAACCCAAAGCGCATCCCCAGACATGGTACGCAGGTAACGGCAAAGAGGGGAAACTGGACAACACAGGACGCACCCCCGGCCGAACCAATTAAGCATCAATAACCCAAGGACCCATCCGGAAAGCAGCCGTCTCGACTGTCGCCAGAAAGACGGAAAGGCTGCAAACGTACAAACCTACCACCAGTACCAAAGAGCAGAAACCTCTGCACCGGAAGAGCCGGAAGCTCCTTGACCCGACTCGCAGAGGCCCATGCCAACAAAATATGGCCTATGAAAACCAAACTTGAACCCAAGGGGCTACCACAAACTGAGGAGAAGATAAGAGGGCACCCTGATCAAAGACCGGGACGGCTCAAGCGATGCATGAGCAGCCACAGGTGAAACAAAACACGAGAAAGCGTACGGAACAGGGCAGATGTGACGTCCTCCCCTAACGTAAGCTAAAGCGGCTCCGCCAGTGCCGCACAAAACGAGGCGACAGCAAGAATCATAATATAACTGTAGTCCTGAAAACCCAAGAAAGGACAAGACAACCCGATGCGAAAGAGAAGACAAGCTACGAAGAGCAAACCCAAGAAAAAGGTGCATAGAAACACCAGGAATGTTATACTGTCGCCGAGACGAAGCTTGCAGGTGGGACACCATCAATGAAGCCACCTGATCACCATAGAGATGGTGATAGCCACGTCAAAATACCAGACGCAAAGAGCCGAGGAGAAGGCCGAACCAGTCACGTACAGGACCAGTCCGACTTGCCGAAAGAAGCAGAGCCGCAGGAAAACGCCCCGGATTCGGACACCTATCAAGCAGCGTCTGAAAATAAAGCTGGGCTGGCCACCAAGGGACCATGAGGACTACTCTCCCTTGGGAATGGACTCCAACCAAGCCAGAACCAACAGCTGGACCAGGAGAAGAGGAACAGGTACCCCCCACCTCGACCAGTCCTGCCGAAAGGCATCCACTGTGAACGCCTCGCAGGTGGGCAAGGGCGCCACATAGAATGAGCGACGCCTAGACCACGCCGACATGAAGATGTCCATGGCCAGGAGTCCATACGTCCGGCAGAGCCAATGAAACGAGTCGGCGATGACTGGCCAATCCGCGAACAGAGGAATGAACCGAGACAGGCTGTCCTCCAGGACGCAGGACACACCCTGGACATGAACCTCACGGTTAACCAAACCCCGAGAATCCAGCAAACGAGCCACTCGAAGGGACTAACCCCAAAGGTCAAACACCTAAGAGAAACCCTGTGGTTCCAGCAAAGAACCGCCAGAGAACAGTCTGAATGGAGCTGGATGGCAAAGCACCGAATGACCCGAACCCTCCGAAGCACAAACCAGACAGCCACAAACTCCCGAACCGTGCTGTGAGCCCGAGGGACGGACAGACCCCACCATCCCCAGCTGACCTGGTGAGCACTGGTCACAAAGCCCCAGCTGAGAGATGATTCGTCCGTGAGCACATCGAGCGGAGGTTCGGGGAGGTGCCAAGGCACGGAACCCTGAAAACCCCAAAGAGGAAGCTGGTGATGCAGCACCAACACAAGATCCCCGGAGGATGAACCCAAAGATTGCAAGAGAGGCGGAACCAAACAGACGCCAAAGCCAAACCTGACCCTGCGGGCAGACCAGCACATCGAAGTTCAGATTCCAGCACAACCGCTCGAGCAACCATCAAGCAACCCGAGGCCCCCTCATAAACAGCCAAAAGGGGGAACCACAGCCGCTGCAACACTTCTGGAGGGAAAGACAAGGAGTGGTCCAAGAACCCCAAACAAGACCCAGCCAGATCCGAACCCGGGGACGGAAACAGATGGAATGGCCTCCAGATCACCAGGAAACTGAACCCGGTGATCTGGAAACAACCACACCCCTGGCATGCAGACAAGCGGACCGACTGGGAGCCCACACCAGCCAATCATAGAGGTAGGCCAGACACCGAATCCCAAGCAGACTCAGACAGGGCACCAAGATCCGGTAAAGATGCGTAAATACACCAAGTGCCAATTACAAACTAGGGAAGGCAACAAAAGCGGCAAACCTGAAGCCCCACCACCAACTGTGCCAGTCCCGGAAACTTGGAGAGGAATGTGCCAAGAAGTGACCTGGAGGTCCAGGGCCACCATCCAGGCCTGAACAGAAACTGGACCGGAGACAACAGTCCTCCAATGAGAGCATAGAATCCAGGGAGCAGACTGAACAAGTCCAGAAGAACCGCAGATCCGCCAGGCCCATGTCTGCATAGAGCAGACGGAAACCCCGGAAGGATGGGGCGGATCGACCACGTTCAACGCACCCACTAAGATGACATGACGAAGAGCAGGGAAACTATAGCCACACTAGGCAGACCCTCCACCAGGCAAATGAAAATAAAAACAAAAGAAAAACCTGCAAAAGTACACCGCCCCCAGAGGCAACAGGAACCGGTTGCTGCTTAGGTGGCAGGTCGCCCAACACCTTGATGCCCTAACCTGCACAATACCAGTCCCTACCCAGGCCAAACAAGGGTCCCAAGCCCCAGCTGGCCCCAAGGACGAGGCAGCAAGAACCTCTACGGGAATGGTTCCCGAACGTCCCAGGGAAGATAACCCCTGTCACGCAGGGGCAGTACTCACAGGGCGCTTAGGGAAGGAAGCTCCTAAGTGCATGCAGCCTCGGTACTGATGAGGAACACCCGGCCACCGCACAACACAACACACGACAGTGAACACCACGAAAGGCAAACATCGCCTAGGAAACCGAGGTCAGAAGCATCTATCCCGGCTGACATTAGCTTACGAACTGATGCTAGGCAGCCGGCATGGTGAGGTCTGGGGCTCCCCCTCCCCCTCTCAGGGCGGGGAGGGCTGCACAGACGATCGGCACGGCAGTAAAGTGTGATGTTTGCTTGTTTCCTTGGGATTGTAGGGAGTTTCTACCTCTCTGTTCGGTTTTATGCTTTAGTTTTTTACCATGTGGGGTTTGTTTTGTTATGCCTACCTTTCTGGGTGCCTAACCCCGGTCGATGGCAGATAAAAAAAATCCCAACCACAAGGGGGTTTTCCGGGGCTATTGCTCCCTGAAACCTCTCTGAAGGGGCCAGGTTCTGATGCTGGTCCCTGGTAGGTCTGAACTCCTTAGCTAATGTCCAGGTCTAATATAACATACATTAGCCCGATAAACTCCAGGGAGCCGTAGGGTCTCCCCACAGAAAAGTAGAACCAGTGGCATTATTGTATTGTAAAGCCATCACTGGACAAGCTCTTGATACACCCCCCACCTGAAGCAACCAAGCATACATAACCCAAGGACCTCTCCAGAAGCCTGCCAACATGTTCTTTGCCAGAAAATAAAGAGCTGGCAGACTGAACAAATGAACAAAATGCCCACCAGCTTCAGAGGCACAAAACCCCCGGCACAGATAAATGATATAATATCAGACAGACAGTATGGTTTTCGATCTGGAAGATCCTGTGTATCGAATTTACTCAGTTTCTATGATCGAGCCACAGAGATATTACAGGAAAGAGATGGTTGGGTTGACTGCATCTATCTGGACCTAAAAAAGGCTTTCGACAGAGTTCCACATAAGAGGTTGTTCTGGAAACTGGAAAATATTGGAGGGGTGACAAGTAAGCTTCTAACATGGATGAAAAATTTTCTGACTGATAGAAAAATGAGGGCAGTGATCAGAGGCAATGTATCGGATTGGAGAAATGTCACAAGTGGAGTACCACAGGGTTCAGTTCTTGCACCAGTGATGTTTATTGTCTACATAAATGATCTACCAGTTGGTATACAGAATTATATGAACATGTTTGCTGATGATGCTAAGATAATAGGAAGGATAAGAAATTTAGATGATTGTCATGCCCTTCAAGAAGACCTGGACAAAATAAGTATATGGAGCACCACTTGGCAAATGGAATTTAATGTTAATAAATGTCATGTCATGGAATGTGGAATAGGAGAACATAGACCCCACACAACCTATATATTATGTGAGAAATCTTTAAAGAATTCTGATAAAGAAAGAGATCTAGGGGTGGTTCTAGATAGAAAACTATCACCTGAGGACCACAAAGAATATTGTGCAAGGAGCCTATGCTATGCTTTCTAACTTCAGAATTGCATTTAAATACATGGATGGCGATATACTAAAGAAATTGTTCATGACTTTTGTTAGGCCAAAGTTAGAATATGCAGCGGTTGTGTGGTGCCCATATCTCAAGAAGCACATCAACAAACTGGAAAAGGTGCAAAGACATGCTACTAAGTGGCTCCCAGAACTGAAGGGCAAGAGCTACGAAGAGAGGTTAGAGGCATTAAATATGCCAAAATTGGAAGACAGAAGAAAAAGAGGTGATATGATCACTACGTACAAAATATTAACAGGAATTGATAAAATCGACAGGGAAGATTTCCTGAGACCTGGAACTTCAAGAACAAGAGGTCATAGATTTAAACTAGCTAAACACAGATGCCGAAGAAATATAAGAAAATTCACCTTCGCAAATAGAGTGGTAGACGGTTGGAACAAGTTAAGTGAGGTGGTGGTGGAGGCCAAGACCGTCAGTAGTTTCAAAGCGTTATATGACAAAGAGTGCTGGGAAGACGAGACACCACGAGCGTAGCTCTCATCCTGTAACTACACTTAGGTAATTACACTTAGGTAATTACACACACACACCTGGCCAATCCAATTACTGTATTATATTATGATTAGATGAACATCAAGTAGCTAGACTTCGAGTTAGAAGTTTCCAGTTTCCTGAGAATTTAAGAGAAAAATTTTTTCTGGAATTTGCCAAAATTTTCTTCATCCTTGAGAGGAAAACGAATCTGCAATTGGAGCGAGTAATGTGGCCAGTTTAGTGTGCATCAGGGTTGGCAGGGACAAAAGAGTATGTCCATACACAAGTGCCTTGGAGGACAATGTGGGAGATGTCCACACCTTCACCATTTTACTAGTGAAGGTAAAGTAAACAAAAACTTACCTCTTTCGAGTCTGTGACAAGGAGGAGATCAAATGGAATCGCTGCAACAACATCGATGAGGAACCACCCACGTAGGTAGTGGAGAGCAATCTTGCCTGGGTGTGACACTACCTCATCATTGTGGTTAACATAGGTAGTGCGAAAATTGATGACGATGTCAACCATAAACATTATGTCAACTGAAAGAGGCAGCAGAGGAGACACATTGGAAATAACATATAGCTAGTACATAAATTGAAGATCATTGTCATTAAAATATAAAAATTTAATGTTGGCATGAGTAAATACTGTATATATGTATAGATTAATATTACATGTCCAGGAGTGTGCAAATAGTTAACAAATATATGCTACTTATATATGAAGCAGGCAAATTAGAAATACAAATTAAATTTATTACAGTACTGGTACTTAAATATTTATAATCAATAAATTTGAAAGCATGGCTTGCTTGCTATTTTGTTATAGCACTATTATCTTATAGTCTATATATGCATAAATTTTAGTCACTTAACCCTTAAGCTGCCAAGGGGTCCTGAGGAGATTTACACCCCTGTGCTCAGGAAAAAAATCCTAACAAAAATTTTTGCCTTCGAAAAATGTTATTCTGTGTTTTCTGAGCATGGGAAAAATAAACAAAAATCACAGGCGACATATTTTGGGCGCAATAGGCCGAGGAAGTCTGGCAAAATGTGGGCGTTGACAGAGCGGTCATCAGAGGCGGTCAGCGTCACCCGAGCTGACAGGTGGGAGTTGCAACAAAAATATTATTACCAAATTAAATCACACAGGTAATATTAACCCTTTAACTGCGCAACGCGCCTACAGGCCCAGGCTTCGGGTGCGCAACGCGCCTCCGGGTGTTTTTATTTTTCACGTCCCATTCAAAACTCCCGCGGCTACATGGGGTTCACATCAGCTTCCTCAGGGCTCTTGTAAACAGACGCCATCTTTAAAAAAAATCATGGTCCACATTGCCGGGTGTCATAGCCTTAGTAGTGAGTGAGCAACCAAGGCTGGCGCTCGCAGCATGAGCGCACAGCACTGCTGTTCAGCGTGTAACCACAGCATCGCTTAATATTGTCAAAATATATATATAATCTTTTATTTAGCCATGATAGTATTATAGAAGAGCCCGAGTGTGATAATGACTGGGTACAATGTTCAAATATCAGTGATTCAATGCTGTTCACGATGTTCACAGCGCTAGCCACAGCACCACAGCATTATTTCGTCCATCTAGGAATCTTCAAACGACTTTTTAGGTTCCTTTTCAAAATAAACTTGTGGTCAATTATTCATTTACAGGTATTAGTGACCAGAATTGTGGTTATAATTAGCGTTGTGCGTAGGAAGGAGGAATTTTGGTGAAGGAGGGAGGGAGAGAATTGAGGTAGCCTCACTGTGTGGCAGTAACTCTGTTACCTAAGTGTAGTTACAGGATGAGAGCTACGCTCGTGGTGTCCCGTCTTCCCAGCACTCTTTGTCATATAACACTTTGAAACTATTGACGGTCTTGGCCTCCACCACCTTCTCACCTAACTTGTTCCAACCGTCTACCACTCTGTTTGCGAAAGTGAATTTTCTTATATTTCTTCGGCATCTGTGTTTAGCTAGTTTATATCTATGACCTCTTGTTCTTAAAGTTCCAGGTCGCAGGAAATCTTCCCTATCGATTTTATCAATTCCTGTTATTATTTTGTATGTAGTGATCATATCACCTCTTTTTTCTTCTGTCTTCCAATTTTGGCATATTTAATGCCTCTAACCTCTCTTCGTAGCTCTTGCCCTTCAGTTCTGGGAGCCACTTAGTAGCACGTCTTTGCACCTTTTCCAGTTTGTTGATGTGCTTCTTAAGATATGGGCACCACACAACCGCTGCATATTCTAGCTTTGGCCTAACAAAAGTCGTGAACAATTTCTTTAGTATATCGCCATCCATGTATTTAAAAGCAATTCTGAAGTTAGAAAGTGTGGCATAGGCTCCTCGCAAAATATTCTTTATGTGGTCCTCAGGTGATAGTTTTCTATCTAGAACCACCCCTAGATCTCTCTCTTTATCAGAATTCCTTAACCCTTTAACTGCGCGGCCTATAAATATGACATCCCCCCCAGTGCGCAGGAAATGAAACCTTGAGAAAAAATTATTTTTTCTTTCGGAAAGTGTCAAAACCCCTCCCTGTATATGGGTATAGCAACGCAAGTTCGAAATTGCACTTACTTTGGCTGCTATGGGGTCCGAAAGGTGGGCTGTGACAACATAATTCCCCGTGCGCCAGAGCAGTATGCACCCGGGGCCGGTGGGGCGCCCGGGGAGGGGCGCGCGAGTTGCCGCGAATATATTTTTGCACATTTTTTGCGCAGTTCCAAATACATTTTATTTGTTTTTACATGCTAATCCTATGTATAATGAACACACACACTATATTATGGCAGTAAAACATCCGTACTGTCCGAAGACACTGTGTTGCGTGCATGACACTTGGTAAATATGTGCAACATGTGTACACATGTATCATGCTAATTTATGTATATATACAATCAATTTACAGACTATACACTGTCACACACTATATACATTCACCATCAACACACTCAGAACACCGTGAGTGTGAGCAGCCACACCCAGCCAGCCCTCCCTCCCTCCAACATCTTACTCGCCAACATCGCTCCTCCCACCATACTGTTATTATATTTATTACACAATTTACACATGTTATATATACCTATCTACATGTTTTATTTACCAGAACTAGGCAAGTAAGCCGGTATTGTGTCCAAACAGTACAGTGGCCACCATACACTGCATGACAAATCACACAGCAGACGACACCACGATTACGATGTCACCTCCCTCACCAAAATAGCTCCTCACAACATACTCCTGGTGCTGTTATTACACTATTCCACACATTGTATATACCCATGTACATGTGTGTTCCCCATAGCGAACCACGAAGCTAGTATGGTGAGCAAAACAAGAGTTACTGCCACACAGTGAGGCTACCTCAATTCTCTTCCTTCCTCCCTCCCTCACCAAAATTTCTCCTTCCTCCGCACAACGCTCATTATAACCACAATCCTGGTCACTAATACCTGTGAATGAATAATTGACCACAAGTTTATTTTAAAAAGGAACCTAAAAAGTCGTTTGAAGATTCCTAGATGGCCGAAATAATGCTGTGGTGCTGTGGCTAACGCTGTGAACATCGTGAACAGCATTGAATCACTGATATTTGAAATGTGTCCTTGGTGAAAATCGTTGTGTACTGTGAAGGATTCCGTGAAAATTAAAATCATTTAACGTCACTCTGGGACACGATTACTTAACGTGGTCATTGTTGCTTTGTTGAACAGCATTGTGATTAACGTAGATCCGTGTAATTGCAAGACACAGCGATTTCATGCAGTGGAGGAATTGTCAAGAGATGACTAACGTAGTGTTAACGAATTAACGAGCTGTCGTTAATTAAGTGATAGATTAACGTAAGGGGTTGACCGTTCTGTCATGATCAGAGTCAACTGCGCTGTCATTAAGCTGTTGTAATTCTTCGAACTGATTGGAACTGTTTGCGGGCAGGGGGGATTAAGCACTCGTAGCTAATCAAGGAGAATTAGCATCCGCCACTTAGTGAATTCACATGGTGTTGTTGTTGATGTTTACACAGACTATCTTGTAGCCTTGTGTGGTACAGTAGTCGAATCCTCGTTAAGGCAATCTTGTCGTAAGACCGGAAGAGATCTGTCAGTTGAGAGACAGTAGGCTTTATCAATACTTGTCTGAATTAATAGACTGTTGTATTCAATAATTAATTGGGAATTACTCACCGAATGCTTGACTTTCAAGTACGATGTAATTATTTGATTTACGAATTATTGTTGCCATTTAAGTGCTGTCAAGACACGAGTGTGTTAACGTAATTTTTTCAATTCAATTAGTGTAACTTTTGTTGTTGTCCTGAGAGACAAGTGTTAATGTAAGATATTATAGGGGTAATCGTTCTTGAATCGCCCGCCTTGTTACTTGGTACCTCGTTTATAAGAGCAGTGAGCGCCAGTCAAGTTTTGTGATTATAGTACAGTATCTGTCCACCGTGAAGCCGTGACAATATTGATTGCAAGCTTGCATCACCAGTGGGCACCACTTTGTTCAGTTAGTGTCATTATTCAGTCACCGATGACGGGAAGGATCTCGTGGGTCCATCAGGTTGTTTAATAGCCGTTCTTGAATGTGCCACTGGGTTGACAGTAAAGTAACGTAAAGTTCTAGTTTTGTCAAATAAATTGTTATGTTTCTAGAAGACGGTCTTTAAGTCAAACCTTCCAAGATTATTGTCCCACATTTCATGTTCTGCAATGCTTTGCCTGCTTATGTGTATATTAAGTCTGCATCTAAAGCTAGAGTCCATTGCACAGCACCACACTTCAAATATAAATATATGAAGTGAGAATCCATCAGTTACCCTCTAGTTTTACTAGGAGGAGCCAACAACTTTAGTGACAGGTTTCACCCGTGTGGTGCCGCCTGGCAGTTTGCTCCCGCTTTCCTATGATCTTAGGCTTTAAGTTAAAACATCTACCTGTGGCAGTTCTTGCTGTTCAAGGTCTGCCTCTCTTGCAAGGTAGTTACGATTAACGTAACATCAATCGGAATCAATTCTTTTGATTACGTCAAAGAAAAAAAAATCTCAGACACTGTGGCTGAAGTTGGGCCACGTTTTATATAGGTAACTATTATACAAGTACTTTGCTAACTAGGTTCTTGCTTGAAAATAGAACTGATGTGTGGGGCACAGTAAAGGCAAAAAGAAGGGAAATGCCAATGTTCGACAATAATATTGAAGTTGGTGACTGCCAGCTAAGAAAAAGTATACTATCAAATACTCTCAGTGCGGTGGAAAGACAAGAGAGCAGTGAACATGTTGACAACCGTTCACAATGATACAATGGTGCACAGTGGCAAGGTGAACTGAACAACGAAACAACCACTACATAAACCAGATTGTGTTCTGGACTATAATATCAACAAGCGTATGATTGATAAATGTGACATCATGATGGGCGCTGTCGAGTGTGCACGGAAAACATTGAAGTGGACGAAAAAAAATGTTTTTCCATCTTGGTGACATATCCATGCTGAACAGTTTCAACATATGTCTGGTGAAAACAGGTCATAAACCAACTTTCCGTATGTTTAGTTTTACAGTTGCGACACAGTTACTAACAAAGTTTGGCAAAGACATTCCTAGCATACAAAGACCCAGTAACCCAATATTGCACCATGCTCCTACACCCAGGCTCTTAAGTACACAGACTAATACAGTTGCCACCAACTGGAAAGCGTGCAATAGGCCAACGTGATTGCATAGCTTGTAGAACCACACAAACGAGACCACAGAAACGTAAACAAGTGCAAACGTTTTGTGAAGCATGCGCCGTCCCTTTGAGTGTTGTCAACTGCTTTAACAACTACCATTGTCTCCAGGACTTCTAAATGTGCAATAATGATGCAAAAACTTGTAAATATTGATTGTGTGTATATATATATATATATATATATATATATATATATATATATATATATATATATATATATATATATATATATATATATATATATATATATATATATATTGATAAATCTGAATACATATTTTATTTGGTGTAATGGAAAACATTTGTGTGCACATAATTGTGACACTAATTTGCAAATGTAAATTGAATGGATGCAATTATATTATAATTCAACATCAAGTAACATTATATGCAACACAATTAGTGAAAAATTGTGGTAAAATATGCCCACTGTAAATAATGCCGCAAAAATAAATTCGTGGCAACTCTGGCTACTTGAAGACGACGTGCGACACCTCTGGGACACACATTGCACGAGCGTGCATGTTGGGTGTGACATCATTGCTAAACTTGTTGGCTCATTTACGTCATTGGTATGTGCAATTCATTTTTTTTCTCGTGGTCAGAGAACACAAATTAACAGAATTGCAAGAATTTTTTTTTTATGCACCTGTGGGTATTGAAGGCCAAATAGCCCAGAGTAGCTTAGGGGTTAAGTCACACTCTTGTAATATCAAATAGATATTTGTTTCTAGATGGTGTACATGGGTTCTGTTACAACCTTCTGGCAAGTGTTTAAAATCAGGATTGGCATACAGTTCAGAGTTTTATATATAGAGTGTGTGTACTGAACCATTCTTGGAGTTAGACTGATGATTTACTGTCAACTGGTTATATTATCAGCCTTCATCTCACATCTTCTAGCAGGTTAGAAAGAAGTATTAACTGTAAGGCTATTACAAGTTGAGAAGAAGTATTAACTGTAAAGTTGTACATTTGGGAAATGTGACAACATAGAGATAGATTTTGTAGGATAAACAAACCCATCTCATCATCTGCACATCAGCTAATGAGAGATTGCAGCAGTTATATTATATTATATAGATGCAACATTGTATTTGATACTCACCAGGAAGGAGGAAGAGATATTTGACAATTAGTATCTCACCCCCTTGGGCAAAAGTGACCTTGTTCTTTTGGAAATAAAGTATGCAATACATTATAATATTAACTGTGAGGGACTGTGTTATAAGTGAAAGTGAAAATTCACTTTCACAGAGTGGTAGATAGTTGTAACAAGTTAAGTGAGAGGGTGGTGGAGGCCAAAACTATCAGTAGTTTCAAAGCATTATATGACAGAGTCCTGGGAAGACAGGGCACCACGAGCGTAGCTCTCATCCTGTAATTACACTTGGGTAATTACACACATGCTGGGATAACATGAATACTTCTGACATGGATAAACAATTTTCTGACTGAAAAATGTGGGCAGTAATCAGAGGCAATGTCTCAAGCTTGAGAAATGTAACTAGTGGAATATCATTTCAGCTCAGTTCTAGCACCAGGGATATATATTGTCTATATAAATGATCTACCAAAGGGAATTACATAACCATGTTTGTTGATGATGCTAAGTTATTAGGCAAGATGAGAGACTTGGATGATCATTATGCCTTCAATATGACCTGGATAAAATAAGTGTATGGAGCAACAACTGGCAAATAGAATTATAGGTGAATAAATCCCACATTATATACAGTAATTTGGAATAGAAGAAAATAGGCCAAATTCAACCTATACATTATGTAAAATGGCATTAATTCTTGGGCTGTACCCCATGTTTATAGGAGACAACACCCTGTGTGTGAGGGGAAAACAAACAAAATTACTCCTAATATTATAATAATAATAAAAAATTTTATTCACAAGAAGGTACAATGGGTTGGTGAGATTAATGTTTATTCAGATAATAATAATAATGATAATTACATAAGATTGGTAGTTTGATATTCTTGCAAAGCCACTAACACACATAGCATTTCAGGAGATCCTTAATCTAACATATCAGGTAAGATGAAAAGTAGATTGTAGCAAGGTTTCATATCAACATATAACTACAATATAAATTGACAGAAGTGATTACACTGGCGAAGATATGAGTATTTGTTCTGTTAAAATCAGTTTCCTGATCACAGGATAAATAAAATCCCAGCATTGACTGCAATGAAATGCCTCTTTTTGGAAGAGTTCTGGTGGCTCCCTGAAGCTATCATGCTGAGATATTAAAAAGGATGTAGTTGGAGATAATGGATTAGCAGAAGAGCAGGAACTGATAACACCAATGTCCACATAATATTTTGCTGTTAAGCCTGCAAATCAGCTGCCATATAAATTTTTTTTTTTAAGTCCCACCGAAACCTAACTTTGAATTACATCATACTAACCACACAACAAAATAACACAGCACACTCCTGAACCACATGCAATTTACATACCTATGAGATCAATGATGACAATGGGACTGTCGTATTGGTTTTGATTGCTCTTCCTCGTTGCCTCTTGCTCATTGAGGAGAAAGGCAGCCACATAGGGTGTGAAGATAGCTGTGTAGATAACAAGCAAGAGGATGATCCAGTCCCACACTGCCTTGAATGGAGAGTAATGAAGAATTGTCCACTTGTGTATCCGCGGGGACTGAAGTTTGTATTCTGGTAGGACGTCAGCACCCAAAGATAGTACCTGAAAAGCAAACACAGCTCATAGTAATACCTGAATTTAACTGAGGGCCACTAATACTAGTAGCCTTGACAAGGACTGGAAGCCAGTGGCTTCTCGTAGGTCTCCCTATTTGCCACCCCAAAAATACAAATATATTTATAATTTTTAAATTTGCCTTCATGTATGGATTTCTACCATTTAAGAAATGCCTCAAATTTGTGATCTAATTACAGTACAGTGCTACAGCTAATGTTGTGATACATCATCCATCTCTGGACAAAATAGAGCCCCTGTTCAAATCCAAGAACATGCTATAAACTCACTCCACACTTTCTCTTGCGCTGTTTAAGCATAAGAACAAATAAATAAAAAATTGGAGAATGCCTATTTGCCCCATACAAAGCCACTCTTCTTTATACCTACTCAAACTCTTTCCAATTATACATACTGTATACGTATCTAACCTAGAAGCTTAAATAATCCAGCAATTCCACGACAATTATGTAACCCATTAATTTGTTGCATAAACCAAAAACCCAATTTCTAAACCAATATTTATCCAGGTGTTTCCCGATTCTAAATTTATCTAATTTATTTCCATTGTTTAGCATTCAATTTTTTGCCGATATATTTAAAACCTTAAAACCATCCTTTCAGGATGGTGGCAGTATGCTTAATAGTATCTTTCCATTCTCTCTCATCTCCCCTCTTTTCTTCAATCTTTTGCATATTTCCTCTTTGCTTTGGTATATCCCTCACCTTCCACCTCTGTCAAATTACATTGTAGTTATTTGTTGAAATAAAACCTTGCTATAATGAACCTTTTCATCTTACCCGATTTATTTTATTTAAATGATATGATATGAATAAATATGATATGTTAGGTTAGGCTGACCTGACCTGACCTGACCTATCCTAAACTAACCTAACCTAACCTAACTTAACTTAACGACATAATAGTATTTGTGCTGCTTTTTCAGCTATGTTTTCATTCCATGCTTTCATTTTACTCTTTATGCTCAATTAGTATTAAGCTATAGTCATTTAAGTTTTTTATGCCCGAAACGCTTTGCGTAATAGGCATTGTATGTACTAGCCCTAACTCTTAAGGCATCACTCTTTGTAAAATCTCTTATGTATGTACCTTACCTAAATAAACATTTTGATTTTTTTTTTTAACCAAACCAAACCAAACCAAACCTAACCTAACCGAAGCTTGGATCGTCGAATTGATTTGGCGTCACCAGCTTTTTATTTTCGTCTAATTTCTTCATAAAAAGATATTTTCAGATTAAAATTATGTTTTTTCGTGTTGTACATTCTGCGCCAACATTATAATGAGTAAATATATCATTTATTCATTACTAACGTATTGCCAGGAAGCTTTGTGAAGCTTGTGTAGCTTGTGGTAATTAGACGGACCGCTCCGCGAGGCTATGGGTCCCCCTTCTTCCAGTCAGAGGTGGTACTCCCTTCCCTTTAATATATATATATATATATATATATATATATATATATATATATATATATATATATATATATATATATATATATATATATATATATATAATGCAAGGATAATTTGTGCCTCGTCACTGGAACTATCTTCACTACTATTTTCATCATTGGAACCATCTTCACTACTAACTTCATTACTGGAACTACCTCCATCATTGGCACCATCTTCACTACTAACTTCATTACTGGAACTATCTCCACCATTGAAACCATCTACTATCATAATCATTGGATCCATCTTCACACTCTTCATCACTAGAACCATCTTCACTACTGTCTTCACCACTGGAACCGTCTTCGCTATTCAGTATGATTGCAACATGCTTCATGCAGGTCCGCGTTCATTCCCCGACCGTCAAAGTGGATGAGCACCATTCCTTTCCCTCGTCCTCATCCCTAATCCTTATCCTGAGTCTCTCCCAATGCTTTATAGTCTTAATGACTTGGCGCTTTCCCCCCCCCCCCTTATAGTTAATTTACTCACTATGATCATTGTAATCATCTTTACTATCTTATTGTAGCCATCTTCATCACTGGAATCATCTTTACTACTCACTAGCTTCATTGTAGCCCCCTTCTCTACTATTTACTGTAGCTATCTTCATCACTGTAACCATCTTCACTACCCAATATCGTCATTGAAGTCAATCTTCACTACAATCTTCATCTGTTACCTTCATTACTGTCATCATCACTGTAACCATCTTCAGTACTCACTATCCTCACTTTACCATTCTCTGTACATCCTTTTATCATTGTAACCATCTTCGTCACTGACCATCTTCACTAATATCACTAACTTCTTTACACCCTATCTTCATTACAATAACCTCCTGCCATACACTATCTTCAACTCTGTAACCATCTTAACCATATACCTTCCCTACCCATCACCACCTTCCCTACTCTTCCATCACCTTCGCTACTCCTCTACCACCTTCCCTACCCTTCACCACCTTTCTCACGGGCCTACCCTTCATTACTTTCCATCTTCATTAATTTCCTCCTCTTCACCAGCTTCCCTCCCTGTGAACTCCCTCCCAACACTTGACCAATTTCTCTACCCTTCACCCGCTTCCCTACCATTCACGACCTTCCCTTCATTCCTATAATCTTGGTGAAGACGGAGTTTTATGTTTAATGAGATTGGAAATCAATATGACTCCATCTCAAAGGGTTAGGGCACGGGACGCGACACCGAACCCCCAATGATGATCCCCGGACAAATACTAGTCACCTGCATAACTTGGTGAGGTTAAGTCCTGAGCGTCCGGCAAGTAACCTCGAAAATTCTCTTTTTAAAGATAGATAATATTTATGTATATAACTATATACACGAAGCTATACTCATTGATTCTCAAATCAAACCTAGAATGTTATACACTTACTACTACTACATACAAAAAAGGAAAATAAGAATCCCGGCAGCATGCAGACTTCTTACTCTTATTAAATAAGCCATTTCATCTACTACTAAACAACAATATATATTGCAATAGGAACATACTGTGCTAAAATTTTGAATGATCTTATTCTTGACTTCTTCAGATTTTGACAAAGACTTGGTTTCGTCGTATAACGAAGATTTGCGAGAGGTCACAGAAATCTTGTCCAAAATGGAAATATTGAATGCAGAAAGGAAAGACCCATTTCTGTTCTCCTCGGTTAGCGGAGCCCCTGGAACCTTCAAGTGAGATAATCCCTGAAGAGAACCTTGCTGGCTCTTGAAGCCCAGAAATCTCCGGAAGTCGACGTTTGAGTTTGGTGTCGTGGAAGACTTTGTGCCATTGATGTTGAGGCTGTGCCTCGAGGAATGTCGGATCTCCGACTTCTTGATCCACTGGGGAGAAGCAAAGTTCTGTGGGACGAGGAAAGGTATTGAGCTCTGTCGCATCATTGTGTTAAGAGATGGTTTTTCTCTATTTTTATTGAGCTTCAGACCATTCGATTGTGCTTTCGGTCCAAGAACTAGACCTGAAATTGTTCCATAGTTCGATGCATGTTGATCCTTAGTGAGATGGACGTTCGGTTGATCAGACATAAGGCCCAATTCGACTGTTTCCATCGGAATTTCGCATTCATTAACTTTGAACTGCAGCCCTACACTTGTCTCAAGGCATTTTTGGTTTGGTAGCGTGAAGTAACTGGAGATAGCACTCTCACTGCTTCGCCTGCTTTCATCCTTCTCAGTTGAAGCATTCCTCGACGCCTCGCTGTTGTCCTCACTCTCGCTGGTCTCGCTATGAAGAGACTTTTCCATTAGGAAGTATCTCGAGCAAAGTCCATCTCCCGAGTGCGAGAAGTACTTGGAATTACTTATTAAGTCTCCCCAACTTCTAGTGTGAGTCAATGCAAACGGAGAGGACTCGCTGAGAAAGGAGTCGACTGTGTTGGGACTACAAAGGACGTCAACGGAGGCACAAGAGCGCGTCATCTCTGGAGCTCCGGTAATAATAAAGGGTGGAGGACATGGTCCGACCCGCCGCTTGGACAGCGGGGATCCGGAGGGTATCATCTCCCCACCAGACATTACGTCACAGAAGAAAAGCTTATCAAAGCATATTTTCATAAGCAGCTTTTCAGCTATAATAATCGATCAGCACTGTTTCCGGAAAATGAGACAAACCACTTCTGAATACTCTGAAAGGTTTCTAATATATTGGTTGGTTTTAAAACCAGTTATTAAAAGTTAGAAATTCAAGAAGGAAATGTATTTAAGAAAGTGTATCATCATATATCCGATGATTTGTGTTTTATTTTTCTTCAAACGCATAGATAATAATCTTAAAGTTCAGAAGCATTGCTATAAAAATGGTACTTTTAGACACCAGTGTGCTTTGACGTACACCTACTTTACACTTTTCTGGGTGTAAAAGCGTCTCTGCGACCTTTTCATTTTATGATACTTCCTAAAATTGTTATTTACTATTTTAAAATATTTCAATTATTAAGAAATGACGGGAGGTATTGTGAAGCAGCGCACCTGCAGGAACATCATCAGTCATCATCATCATCATCTCTACTTACTGATATCGTTCACCAGTCTCTAAGGAGCTCATTATATGGATCTCCTTGAAGTCGTCCATAGTAAGATGGATTTATTTGGTCTCCCACTCCAAGATGACTCTCCTTGAGTCACGCACTCCCGGAAGTGACTACTTGAACTGATTGATGAAGATTAAGCCACCCAAGAGGTGGCACGGGCATGAATAGCCCGTAAGTGGTGGCCCTTTTGAGCCATTACCAGTATCAAGAGCTAATACTGGAGATCTGTGGAGGCGCGACTGCACCCTGCGTGACGGGAGATGTCTCCCGGACCAAGTGGTGACCAGATGGTGTACTTGAACTGCGCTGCATCATAACTAATATGACAACCCCCCTCCTGACGCCTTATTCACCCTGTTGACCAGGAGACCGCCCCCCAGGAGGTCCCTCACTCCTGGGTTTGAACACGTGACTAAAATTTACCTCTTGACGACGCCCATTTTCATATCGTGAGAATC